CTCAGCAATAAAAGAGAATAAAATCACCACATTTGCAGGTAAATGAATGGAGTTGAAGAAGATATTGCTAAGTGAAGTTAGCCAATCACAGAAAATCAAATGCAAAATGTTTTCTCTGATATAAGAATACTGATTTATAATGGGGTTGGGAGGTGAGCATGGGAGGATTATACTAACTCGAGATAAAACAAAGGGGAGGGAGGAGAAGGGAGGGGCATAGGGGAAGGAAAGATGATGGAATGAGATGGACATCATTACCCTAAGTACATGCATGAAGACACAAATGGTGTGACTCTACTTTGTGTATAGCCAGAGATATGAAAAATTGTGCTCTATATGTGCAAAAAATCTTTTTTTCTCCATAATAAGTTTATCATTATTTTCTAACACATTCTCTATTTGTATATGGTGCAAAGTAACCTTTCTCTAAAATAATTTGCCTATTTAAAATCCATATTTGAAGTGAAATACAGTTTGATATTTCTCAAAAAAAAATTATTCTACAGAGCTATAGTAACAAAAAAACAAAAATAGCATGGCATTGGCACCCAAACAGACATGAAGACTGATGGAAAAGAACAGAAGACACAGAGAAAAATCCACATAAATACAGTTATTTCATACTAGACAAAGGCACCAAAAAGATGCATTGGAAAAAATGACAAACTTTTCAACAAATAGTGCTGGGAAAACTGGAAATCTATATGTAGTAGAATGAAATTTAACCCCTGTCTCTCACACTGCAGAAAACTCAACCCAGTGTGGATCACAAACCTAAGTATTAGACCAGAAAACTTGTACCTAACAGAAGAAAATATAGGCCAAATACTCCAACATGGTGGCTTAGGAACTGACTTCATCAACAAGACTTCTAAAGCACAAATAATAAAATTGATCGTCAGTATATGGGATGGTAATCAAACTAAAAAGGCTTCTTTATAGCAAAGGAAACAATTAAGAGCATGTAGAGAGAACCTACAGAATGGGAGAAAATTTTTGCTATGTACACTTCAGATAAGGCATTAATTTCCAGAATATACAAAGAACACAAAAAAGCTTAACACCAAAAACAAAACAAAACAAAAACAAAGAAAAAACAACAAATAAATGGGCAAAGGAACTGAACAGACCTTTTTCAAAAGAAGAAATATGAAGTCAACAAATATATAAAAAAATTCAATATCTCTATCAATTAGAAAAATATAAATTAAAACTACACTGAGATTTCACCTCACTCCAGTCAGAATGGCAATTCCAAGAATACAAGTAACAATCAATATTGTGAGGAGGTGGGAATAAGGGTATATTCATACATTGCTGGTGGGACTATAAATTGGTGCAACATTCTGGAAAGCAGTATGGAGATTCTTCAAAAAAACTACTAGTGGAATCACCATTTGACCTGGTTATAACTAATTCCTCAGTATATATCCAAAGAAGTTAAAATCAGTGTGCTACAGTGATGTAGCCACATCAATATTTATAGCAGCTCAATTCACAATAACTAAGCTATGGAACTAACCTAGGTGACCTTCAACACATGAATGGATAAAGAAAATATGATACACACACACACACACAGACACACACACACACACACACACACACACACCATGGAATATGACTCAGCATAAAAAAGAATGAAATTATGGCATTTGCTGG